GGCCCTATCCCAAAGGATACTATAGACTCTGATGACACCCTATGGAAGGCCTCACCATCCAGGGGGAGCAGAAAGGATATGTGACAAGTAGGGCTTTAGTTGGGGCGGGTGGTAGAGGAGGTAGGGAGGGAGAAGGGAACTGGGATCGTCATGTAATTCAATCTTGTTTGTAATTCAAATATATAAAAAATAAAATTAAAAGAAAAAGAACTCTCAGCTCATAAGACAGACTTTAAAGATCCCCCATGGAAGACCTCGCCCTCCCTGAGGAACACAAAGGGGATGGGAAAGGAGGTTGGTGGGGGGCAGGGGAGGAGAGGGAACTGGGATTGACATGTAAAACAAGTTTGTTTCTAATTTAAATTTTAAAAAATCTAAAAAAACAACAAAAAACAAAAAACTCTTAGCTCCTTCTCTAGCACTGTGCCTGCCTGCGTGCTGCCTGGCTTCCTGCTATGAGGATAATGGACTGAACCTCTGAACTGTAAGTGAGCCACCACAATTAAATGTTTTCCTTTATAAAAGTTGCCATGGTGATACTGTCTCTTCACAGCAATAGAAACCCTAACTAAGGGGCTGGAGAGATGGCTCAGGGGTTAAGAGCACTGGCTGCTCTTCAAGAGGACCTGGGTTCAACTCCCAGCACCCATGTGGTAGCTCACAACTCTCTTTAACTCCAGTTTCAGGGGACCTGAAACTTCCCATAGCAAAACACTAATGCACATAAAAAAATAAATAAATAAGTATCAAACACCACAAGGGAAAAAGATTAAAGTAATATACAAAAGCAGGCCCAGCAGAATAAAACCTGACTTCTAAACAGAGTCTCTAAAAGCCAGAAGGCCCTGGAAGGATATTCTACAAACTTTAAAAGACCAGAAATGCCTATCCAGATTACTATACCCAACAAAACTATCAATCACAAAGAAAAAGAAAAACATTCCACAATAAAATCAAATATAAGCAGTATCTATCTGCTAACCCAGTTCCACTGAAGGCACTGGAAAAACAACTTCAGTCTGTAGACAAGTTTGTTTGGGGGTTTTTTGTTTTGTTTTGATTTTGGTTTTTTTGTTTTGGTTTTTTTTTTTGTGGGGGGGGATAGGGTTTCTCTGTGTGCCCTAACTGTCCTGGAACTCGCTCTGTAGACCAGGCTGGCCTCAAACTCACAGAGATCTGACTGCCTCTGCCTCCTGAATGTTGGGATTAAAGGCATGCTCCACCACTGCCCAGCTTCTGTAGATAGTTTTGACTATATCCAAGAACATGAAAGCAATAAATAATCCCAGAGCAGCAAATCAAAAGAGGGGGAAAACCCACACCATAAGAACAAAATACAGGAACCAAAAAACACTGCTCTTTGATGACTCTCAATATCAATCGCTTCAATTCCCTAATAAAAAGACAAAGACTAATAGATCAGATTAGAAAACAGGATCCAGGGGCTGGAGAGATGGCTCAGGGGTTAAAGAACAGTAGGCGTTCTTCCAGAGGTCCTGAGTTCACAACCATCTGTAATGAGATCAGGTGCCCTCTTCCAGGCCACAGGGACACATGCAGACAGAACACTGTATAAGTAATAAATAAATAAACCTTTTGAAAAAGAAAACAGGATCCATCTTTCTCCTGCATTCCAGAAACACACCTTCCAATCAAGGAAGACATTTACTTGGAATGGAATCCAAAAGCAAACGGTTTTAACCATTTTAATATATGACAAAAAAAGACTTCAAACTAGACCATTCAGAAGAGAGGACAATACATACTTATCAAAGGAAAAATCCATCAAGAGGAGATTGCAATCCTAAGCATGTATGCACCAAACACAAGGGTACCCAAGTTCATAAAATAAACACTACCCTACTCTTATTAAGAGACAGGGCATCTAGACAAAAACTAGACAGAGAAATACTGGAGTTAAATAATGTCATATCAAATGGGCTTATCAGAAGATTACAGAACATTCCATCCAAAAATAAAAAATGTGCCACCTTCTCAGCACCTCATGGAACTTTCTCCAAAACTGACCACATACTCAGACACAAAGCAAGTATAAATATATGTAAGAAAACTGAAATAACCCCTGCATCCTCTATGACCACCTGAATTAATGCAGTGTCAACAACAGAAAGTATGGACACCAAACAACTCACTACTGAATGAAAAATGGGCCAAGAGAGAATTAAGAAGGAAATCAAAAAGTTTTAAGAATTGAGTAAAAATGAAAACAAAATATACTCAAACTCATGGGATACAATGCAATTCTAAGAGGCAAGTTCATAGTACTAAATGCCTATATAAAAAAAATCAGAATAATCTCACATTAGAAATTTACAGCACACCTAAAAGCTCTAGAACAAAAAGAAGAAATAACACTCAAAAAGAGCAGACAGCAAGAAATAAACAAACTCAGGGCTGAAATAAACAAAAAATACATATAAATTACAGAGAATCAATGAACTGAATAGTTCATTCTTTGAAAAAAAATATCAGTAAGACTGATATACCAGCCAGGCGTTGGTGGCACACGCCTTTAATCCCAGCACTCGGGAGACAGAGGCAGGCAGATCTCTGTGAGTTTGAGGCCAGCCTGGTCTACAGAGCGAGTACCAGGATAGGCTCCAAAGCTACACAGAGAAAAAAAAAAAAAAAAAAAAAAAAAAAAAAAAAAAAAAAAAAAAAAAGACTGATATACCATTAGCCAAGTTAACTAAAAGACAGAAAGAGAAGATCCAAAGATCCAAATCAATAAAACTATAGATGAAAAGGGGACATCACAACAGAATGGAAATCCAGAAAATCATAAGGACATACTTTACAACTCTACACTCCATCAAACTGAAAAACCAAAAAGAAACGGATGAATTTCTTGATATATATGACCTACCAAAGTTACACGAAAATCAGATAAGCAATTTAAACACAGCTGAGAATTTCCTAGATAAACAGAAGCTGTAATTAAAAGTCCTCAGCAAACAACACTCTAGAGCTGAGCTTAGGGAAGGGACAGTGGGGACTGCATATCAGATTAAATGATTAGACTTCCGCCTCGGTAGTCAGAATCTTCAAGAACACCTGAGTATCCAAGTGTGGTGGCACATGCCTGTGATTCCAACACAGGAAGGCAAAGGTAGTAGATTTCAAGGCCAGCCTGGTCTACATTCAAAGTCTAGGACAGCCAGGGCAGCATAGTGAAACCCTGTCTCAAAAATAAATAAATAAATAAGAGGCAAAACTCAATTGAACAGATTAAGATTATGACAAAGTGTGGGTTTTTTTGTTTTTTTATTTTGTTTTGTTTTGTTTGGTTTTGGTTTTTCGAGACAGGGTTTCTCTGTGGCTTTGGAGGCTGTCCTGGAACTAACTCTTATAGACCAGGCTGGCCTCAAACTCACAGAGATCCGCCTGCCTCTGCCTCCCGAGAGCTGGGATTAAAGGCATGCACCACCAACGCCCAGCTAAGCATATTCTTTTATAGCACTTGCTATAATCAAACCTTTGGAGTGGATGAGCACTGTCCCACACAGGAACATGGCAATCCTCTGTTCTAAACTACAGCAGCCACAAACCAGACACCACACGGTCCACAGAGAAAGAATAAAGCTTGAGTGCAGGGCAGGGGGGGTCGCGTTCTCCTTGGTGCTCATACCCAGTACTTCCTCCATCTGCTGCACGGTCTTCTCCATCTCATCCTGCACATCCTGTTGCTTCCGCCCTGCATCCTCAACACTATGAGTCTCAAAATAGCTTTCTCGAAATGAGTAGAGTTGATCCACCAATTCCTAGAAAACAGGGAAAAACAAAACAAAACAAAAAAAAAAACAGAATCATTAAATGGAGAGAGTACCAGATGAGGAGATTTTACATCAACTGTATAACCTCTGGCCTAGCAATACTGGTTCTTCTCTCACATGATGCACAGCACAAGAAGGTTCCCAGTCCTATCAAACGCTTCAGATCAGGAGGAAGAGCCAGGATCACAGGACCTCATGGTCCCAAGCTAACCCCACACTGGTTCCTCAGCACTACGTATGCACTGATCTCTCAGAGTTCAAGCAGGGCTTCCCTATGGCCACACCACAGACAGGAGAGACACTTGAGACTTGGAAAAAAAAAAAAAAAAAAAAAACCTTTGCAATTTAGCATTAAAGCTCAACTTCTGAGTAGGGGAGCTGGCCTCAGTTTCCAGAACCCACATGGTAAAGGGAGACAGCCAACTTCCGCAAACTGTCCTTGGACCTCTATACATGTGCCCTGGCATGCACCCCAATGCCTAATAATTAAAAAAAAAAAAATTTTAAAAACCAGTCATGGTGGTATACTCCTTTACAGCCAGGGCTACAGTTTCAAGAAACAACAAAGGGGGGGGGGGGGGGGGGGGGGGTTTAAAAAAAAAAAACAAACCAAGGCAAAAGAAACACAAATGAATGCTTGATTACCATGGAGTGTCATTATTTGAAAGGATTAGGAAGTCTGGCCTTGTTGGGGGAAGTGTATCATTGGAGCTGTGCTTTGAGGTTTCAATAGAGGCTCTCTCTTCCTGCTGCCTGGGGATGTAGGTGTAGAACTCTCAGCTGCACCATGTCTGCCTCAGTGCCCCTGCCCCCC